GTCGGTACAGACAGAATGACAGAAAGACAGACAGACAGAAATTGAGATGAGACTCGTTTGAGCCTTCATAGCCTAGAAACGTAAAAAAAAAACTGCATGATTCTACGCAATGAACAGACAAAACTGTAATTTTATTTCTATAGAAGAAGACTACATTTGCACAGTTTCAAGCACTCGACAGAGTTGCTCGACAAGCTGGTCTGAATCTGACACCATTGAATCACTGCAAGGGATGCGCGCAGAGGTAGAGGAACATACAGATGACTTCTGAGAATTTCAACTTTCTCGTTTTGCAATGTGCCGTTATAGCCTTACTTGGAAGAGGGGGATTTTTGGACCACGAATGAGTTTGTTATGATTAGTTTTAAATAAATCCGACCTGAATATAAAATAGCAAATGCAAGTCCGCAGTAACAAAAACATTTATTTTTACGCAATTAACTTATAGTGCAGCCTAGCCCTAATTTGTCAGTGTCAATGAAATAGTGCAATATCAAAGACAACCAAACTTGGATATACAACCATGTTTATTCCTAAGGTTCCTTTTTGGTACTCACCAACAAGGATCAACCGTAATTGTTTTCAGTCAGAAAGTGTCCTGAGTTTCTGGAAAATTGTAACTTATTACATTTTAAAAATTAAGGGTAAATTAAACGTTTCGGTTCTGGTTTTGGAGCGAATCCAAGTTCTTGCAGTGACTAATACTTCAAAGGAAGGAAGGTGGGAAAATTTTCATACTGCTAATAGCCTTCTTTGAATTCAGCGTGAAAATACTGGGCAATTTCTATAGTTTGGGCCATTTAAGGGAACCAAACAAATTTTTAAAAACTCTTCTATCTCATAATTTCAGTAAACTATGATATTATTATTTGAATAGAAGTTAAATGTCAATGAAAAAATACCGCAAATTATTATTTTTGGGATAGAATTACATTGACCAAGGAATACTCTCAAAGTGTAGTGTAGTGATAAAGTTTCCCGAACAAAGCTCGGTCCCCAGCTACTTGTTGTCAAACAACGCAATAATGTACGTTATTTCATAAAATTTTTACCTGAGAAATTTACAAATGGAAAATGCATTTCTCGTAAGTGTAAGCAAATCTTTAAATGATAGGATTTGTTACAAAACACCAAACACCCGCCACTGGATCAAAATATGCCCGCACAGCGCAACCCGGCACGGTGGGAAGCCCCTCTCGTACAATTTAAATTACGTACATAAAAAAAATTAAAAAAATATGATTTAGAACATTTTACTTTTTGTATACAGAATCCACTGTTTTTAAACTTACCTGACCAAAAAATAAAATAAAGTAGTAGCCGACAAAAAAAGTTCCGTGGAAATTTGCCATGACACGTTTCATAAAACATTTAAAATAATCGACTTTATTTGAATATTTAAAATGAAAAGTACCGGGGGACCGAGCCGTGGCTCAGTATGTTTATTTCGATTGTAAAAGATGTATAAAGGAAACTCGTGTTTTCTTTATAACTAATTTTGGCTTTTATTGTTTAAGTTTCGGTGGAATTTTAATTTACTATGATGTAACTTTAAATGGATAATGCAACACATTAATTTATTTTAATCTTACACATTTCTGTTATTGTAAATAAATCATAGAAATTAAAAAAAATAAATCATAGAAATTTAAAAAAATAAAAGTAGTATTTTTTTAAATACGTCCCTAATGAAGGAATTAATATGCGATCACAGGTTAATACAGTAGCAATCAACTACACAGCATTAAAACAGCACAGTGTATGTAAGGGGTGTGATTTTTTTTCTTGGTACTAAATTAAGTCATTCTTCAAGTATAAGTAAAACTTCAGCATGGGCATACTCTCTAACGTACTATCATATGATGGAATAACTGAAGGCAGATAAGTCCGATTCAAGCTTATATTGCTTACTATAAAGATTGTTGTAATACAATTAACTTTAACTAGTGGTCGTCCAGTGGTCTAAAACTCAACAAAAAATATGTAATGTACAGGTTTCAAATGATTTAGGCCTAACACCTTTTTTCCTGTGTGAGTAACTAAGGACTTCTGGATAATTTAAATATGATATTTATATGTTTCTTACTCAGGAACAATGCCGTTCCGGGACACTATATAAATGGACGTTAACGTGATTATAAATTTGCATTTTACATAGTCAAAATACAATAGGTATTGCGCAACCGTGATATGTTAAGTCATTAACCTTGGTTCACTAATAAAAACTACACCGTATGCTTACTCAAACAAAACAAAACTTGCTTACTGTACAGCAATAAATCACGTAAAGAACAAAACAAAAGAAAATGTAGACTAGAAGACTACTGATACCGTGGTCATCCTAGGCTACTACTACATGATGTTTCAGAACAGAAGTATGGTTATAAAAATATTAAATAACTCATAAAACACCATAAAATCATAGTACTGTACTTAAGTCTTTCTGGTAATAATAACAATGATAAAAATAAGATAAAGATAACAATGATATAAAACACCTCTTATTATTTCTCTTTGTTCTATTCTTTCTTTGGTTTCTCTTCATCCACAAGTTGTCATGGTTACTAATCACCCAACGACACAACCACAACATATTGTAGTGTTGTGACAGTAGACAGGAGCAGACGATTATGTCAGTGTCAGTGCAAGATTGTCAGTCTGTAGGTGCGAGCGTATAGCTTGACCTTGACGCTACTGATCGATATTTCTCCGTTTTGCTTCCATCTTATTTTTGTCAACTGAACTGTAATATTTCAATAATTGGGAACCTACTGCACATAAAAATTACCGTAAATAGTTAAATATATCGTTCATATCGAAATATTAGACTGAAAAACACAGTTCATAAAACATTTTCTTGGGATTTGTGAGGTTATATAATAGGCATCATGATGATGCGACTCCAGTTAAGCGAGGTTCTACTGTATTTGCAAGTTAAAGTTACAAATAGAAAACCCATTATGGTTTGTATTCAATGACCGATGTATTATACAAAATAAATTATAACTTATTTTGATATTAATCAGAAGCATTTATTACAGCTTGCAGCACTTATTGGTAGGCCTATATATACATATCCCAGTTACTATTACTTAAAAAAAAAATAAAACACGAAATTGTGTAGCCATTCAATTTTTATAAGCACCGTGTTAAACATTTGACTCTGCAGAATACCGGATGGTAAAGAGTGTTTGGTTTCAATAAAATAAAATAAAAATAGTTTAACCAGCTTTACTATATATTTTGAAAAATAATAGATAGGAAACCATAATGATAGGTATGGGATTGAACTGAAATAATTGCAGGAAAACTTAAATCGTAAAGTCCACAATCTGTACATCGTTAGAGAGCGAGAGAGAGAGAGAGAGAGGGAGAGAGAGAGAGAGGGAGAGAGAGAGAGAGAGAGAGAGAGAGAGAGAGAGATGGAGAGAGAGAGAGAGAGAGGGAGAGAGAGAGAGAGAGAGAGAGAGAGAGAGAGAGAGAGAGAGAGAGAGAGAGGGAGAGAGAGAGAGAGGGAGGGAGAGATAGAGAGAGAGAGAGAGAGAGAAAGATTTGATAAGGAATCAGAAAAGTAAACAAATAATCGTTTCTGGCGTTTTTTATATTGTAACCCCCTCCCCCCACCACATTTGCACTCGTGACCACTTTTTGTTGCTTCCTTATCATTCATCCGTCCCAAAATAGAATTCCTGTAATAGTTTGTTTGTAAAATTAAAATTAATTAAAATTAATATTATAAAAATCTTTTATCTTTCAAGTGTAGTTTCATGGTTATTCTTATCAGATAGAATAATATCGTTGTCATATGTAATAAATAGTTACTCCTTCGCGTTACGCAATTGCGTAAAAAAACAGTTCCCGTATCTCGGACCAGATTCCCGGTCCGCGGAAACACTGTAAATATTTTACTAGGATATAAAATATTGTATAAAGGAGAAGTTGACTAAAATTTCAACTGAAGGTAAAAAAAAAATAAAATACTTAAAATATGAGATGATGAACGGGTAGGATCAAGATTCAACCAATTATAATTAATTAATTTTCGACGATCCTTATTAGAGGTGCATCATATTTATTTGGAGTATGAACATGTTTAAACATTAACACGTAGTTAATCACTATCCCAACACAAATAGTAACAAGGAGTAAACGAAGGTTACAGACCGCTGGGTGTTACCGCTACAAAGTAGGGTAGGGCGCCGTACTTGGCTACACTACTCCACGATAGAACACACGATGAGACAGTCTCCGCATTGGTATTGCAGTTACGCTTATCGACACAGGCAGCAGCACCGGTTTGCTGTTTTCATACGTATAAAGTGCACGGGAAGCCGTACCTGACTGGCTTATGGGAGAGCTGACTGGCTTTCGGGCGGGTGACTGCCACACCGAGTAAATTACCAGCGCACTGACTGCCAAACCGGGTGGGCACAAAAGTATATATATATATATAAATATATAAATATATAAATATATAAATATATAAACATATAAATATATAAATATATATATATATATATATATATATGAATTTTAACGGATGGTGTTTTTGGCCTCTAGGGACCTCAAAACGAAAAAAAAAATCGGTCCCGCGTCCAGGTCTTACCATGAGTACTACGGCAATAGCTTATTCCCTATATGGGAAATTCGCTAAAAACGGCCAAGACCAAACGAGAACTTGAGGGCTTTGAATTTCAAACAAGACTCTGTAAAATATGAAATATCTGACTTAGCCCTTTTATTTCCTCTACTCTTCACATAGTGGTACAGTGTTTTATGTTGATAACAGTTTATAGATCAGATTTTCATTTCACAGTAAATAAAGTTTCGTATATCACCCCAGGCAGAAATGCTTCCTTTGAAACAGAAATTTCAACTGTTAAATTCTTAGTGAAATTGTGTGAATTTTGAACATTTACTATTGTTGTAATGTAAGAAACATAAAGCTTCAGGTTTAATCCAAATCACCAAACATTTAGTGAACATTTCTTCTATTGCAGGGATCCCCTGGACTGCCTGGTGCTCCAGGGTCTGTTGGTGCTCCGGGTGTGGAAGGCAGACCCGGACCACCCGGACCCCAGGGACTCCCAGGCCCCCCTGGTGACTCTACTGGAGTCTCCTACACCAGCGAGGGAGGCACAGGGACCCCTGGTGTGATGGGTGCTAGAGGTTCACCAGGACCACCGGGCATGGTATGAGCATGCTTTGTGAAAAGTTTAAGCAAATAATTTAGACTGGTTGAACAAACATGTTTGTGTTATTCATTTTTGAAATTTGATATTTCTCTTTAATTCACGTTGGTAAAAATAATCTTCCTGGAAAAAATAGAGATTTAATGACCTTTAATATGTTTTAAAGTTCGGTTAGGACACTATTTTATATTAAATATTTAGTTTGTTCTCTTCAATGTACTTTGATGAAAATAATACTAAGATTTAAAGATTTAAAGACTTAATGTTATAAGATAGAGTCAACAACCGATCTTTAAACTCAATTTAATTTCATAATTGCTGTTCATCCAGCCCGGAGAGAGGGGGGCAGCAGGAGAAAGAGGTCCTGAAGGAGCTCCGGGACTTCCTGGAGTACCAGGTAAAGAAGGGCCCCCAGGCATACCCGGGCCCCCAGGACAAAGGGGCCAGCCAGGCCTGAATGGACTACAAGGTGCCCCGGTAAGTTCCAATCTTAATATATATTTGTAATATGGAACAATATTATGTATCAGATAAGTTTGTGCAGTATGTTTTACGTTTATGCCATTGTCACGGTATAAACGTCTACTCACTTGCTCATCTAATAGTAGATGAGCGATGTTGTACTTGCTCCACTCACACAGACATCACACCATCCCCCCGTAGCCTTCAGACACCGCTGCCTGAGATCGGCGAAAATTGAGTCTGGTGGGGATCAGAGAAACTGTCATTCTAAATATTTTTATTTAAAATATTGAAAGAGAAATAACAAATAATTTTGAATTATATAGAGACACTAGTCTCTACTGTATTTTAAAATGTAAAAAACAACATACTACCGAAATTACTATGAAAAACTACATCTCACTCTGGTTGGATCAGGGTAAAATGAAGCAGTGAATCATTTGCTTCACGGATAAAAAAGTAGAGCGCGGACTGAAATAATTGTTATAGAGTTTAACCTTATTGTTGCCACTGTAATCCTCAGTCGTCGGGATGGTGACCGGTTTCGACACTCATGGTGTCAGGGTGTAGGTCTAGACTGACCGTTGCCGTGTCTAGACCTACACCCTGAACCCACAGCCGCGCCGTGAAATTTAGTGTTCTTGTATGGCCATACTGTGTTATTTATTCGTTAATAAATATGTTTGTGCGTGTCTCGTATTTGTTTTCAAGACTTTATGACGACCTCCCAGAAGCGACACCATGAGTGTCGAAACCGGTCGCCATCCAGACAACTGAGGATTACAGTGGCAACAATAAGGTATTTATCCTCTAGAATAATATTGTCAATTAATCCGGAAGACAACACCTCAAAAATGAAGAAAAAATTGTATTGGAGAACAATTTGTTCTTTAGATACATAATCTACGATTTCTGGTACGATGCAAAATAATAGGCTTGAGGTTTGATTTAAAATAAACATCAATCAGGGTCACAGTCCATGCCTTCAATTCCTGAGAAATCAGAGTCAGGGTTGTCACTAGTTCCGTCATCCATAATGTGATCGGAGTTTCAGTAATTGGCCTCGGTTTTCAAAACATGAAGTCTAAGTAGCAACTAATAATTTTCTGACATAGAAACAAATGAGTAAAATATTGTTTGATGAATACAATATATAAGTTTTGTGACATAAAACTTTTTCAGGGGAGAAGTTACACGGAGGCTGAAATCAGAGATATTTGCGCAACAGTGCTTAGAGGTGAGATTAACTTGAATTAAGTATCATAAGACTTTGTGTACAGTTTCTTCTCTAAGGTGTAAAAAAGAGTGAAGGTATCTTTGTGTAGTTTTATAACTGAGGAAAAGGAACTAAATTATTGTGAATACTTTCTAAGTGCGATTAGCAAAAAAGTAGTTCGTCTCTCTCTAGAAACCTACTACATATTGCGTGAGCTTAGTGCACTAACTGAGCCCACTAGTTGAAAAGAAAAATGTTTGGACCAGTCAAGCTTACAAAATGCAAAAAAAAGATAAAGAAACATTAAAGATCAAGGTAACACTGTTGACAATGTACGAGGATTCAAGCAGGTTTAATCAGTGATAAGTCCCAGTGGCATTGTTAAGACATACTCCCAATCTATACCAAGGGAGTTTGTGGTAAACATTACCACTGTAGTAACATGTTTAGCCATGGTAACATGTTTAGCCATGGTAACATGTTTAGCCATGGTAACATGTTTAGCCATGGTAACGGTGGTCTGAGTAATGTAAATGTATGTTATAGAACAGCTTAACGAGTTGACGCAGACCCTGACAGGACCTCCTGGTCCCCCAGGAAGAAGCAAACCCGGAAGACCCGGACCACCCGGACCCCAGGGAGCATCAGGTTGACCGAAAAACCATAATCACTGTTTTTTTCATCCCAACCCATTTGCCATGTATGTTAATGAGGAAGTCAATGTGCATGACTATTGTCTGCCAATTTTTTGTGGTACACTATCTCATGTGATGTATTATTGAATAAAGAATATATCTATCTATACTATTATAAAAAAGAGGTGGTGTCTGTGTGTATGGGAAAAGTAAACGCGAAAACTACTGGTCGGATCAGGCTGAAATTCGGCATGATGATAGCTCATATTCCCGATTAACATATAGGCATATTTTTATCCCAAAAATCCTTCCGGGCTCCGCCCCAGTGGCTCTGGAGCAAAGGTTCCCATGTTAACCTTATGAGAAATGGAATTAATGAATCTTAACAGCTGTTTCAATTAAACAAGTTGGTTCTGTTCTATGATTTTTCAATAGCATTAAAGTTACAAGGATTACCAACAGGGTGCAGCACTAGCATTATTTCTTTTACATTTATGACAACAGCTAATTTGCAACCAAAAGGTGAGTGAGCATAGCAAACGAACTTCAACCTGGAGGCGAGTTAGCGTAGTGAACGAGCTAACCTGAAGGCAAGTGAGCGTAGCGAACGAGCTAACCTGAAGGAAAGTGAGCGCAGCGAACGAGCTCCAACCTAAAGGTGAGTGAGCGTAGCGAACGAACTTCAAAAAGAACCGAAATTTCTTAAACCATGTCCTCACTCATAACTGCTATAAGCATTTGATACTTATATGCCAACCCCGTACGAAGGACGGGTACTCTGCTAGTTTCTATTAAAATTTACCTTAAAAGACTTAATATGGACGAAATCTGCTATAGCCACATGTTGATTCCTTATTCATATACATGGCAAATGGATATTTCCCCTGTTTCCTCCATATGACCCTCCTAACCATCTCACTTTTGCAGAGCATCTACACTGTTGCTGAATTGGTACATTAAAGGCACTTCTATGTGAGGCATGCTTCATGCACGTTAACCAAGTAACCTTTTAATTGTCTGTAGAGAGAATATCTGAGCTAACAGACGGGTTGGTAGGGCCACCCGGACCCCCGGGACTAGGAAGTCCGGGAAAACCAGGACCTAAAGGGATTCAAGGGATTCCAGGTATACAGAGGGGGTTTGGAACTGTGTCTAATTACGATACACAAAACAATTAGAAACTGTTTGACTTATATAGACAAACAAATAAACTAATTTGATATTTCTAAAGCGTAAGAATGGATTTTAGTTTGCTAGAATACAGGAATAAGTGTTACTGTTAAAATATTATCAATTACTAATTAGTATCAGCTTTTTGCTATGTGATAATGCTGTAAGGTGGTGATTTAGTTGTTCTCACTTCACTGTGTGAATAGTGTGGTTGTAGATTTAAGCTGTATTCACACTTATCCGATAATTCATAACTATAGGCAAAATTTCTTATGGAACTGTTCTGTGTTAGCAATATTTTCTAGCCCGGAACTGTTTTACAAGTTACAGGAGGGTTACGGCATTATCACATTGATAAAATCTATTAGAGTTTGGCAGGATTTGAACCCAGAGCCTCGGGTACCGAAGCTCTGCGCCTAACTACTAGACCAGCTCGCTCCCGTTATCTACTAAATATTTACATTTAATTAAAATGTTAACATTGAAGTAAACGTCACTCTTAACTCACCAAAATAAAAAATATTGCTACATTAATAACCGATCATAGGCCTAACATTCGTCAAATAAACCAAAGATAACCTGCACAGATTTCAGAAACTAAACTAAATCACATTAACACGTTCGCTGCGGGTGCTGGGTTCTGACCCACGGCGATCACAGCCCTCACACGACCGGGTCAGTACTGACCCACACTGCAGTACATAAATCTGTCATTCTGTTGCTCAGTGCGAGCCTAGGGTTGGTCGAAGGTGGACCTATACCACGTTTTCGGGGTTTTTTGTGACTTGCTTTTTGTTGTGGTGTAGGTTGGTAGTACATTTTCCTGTAAAATCCCCATCTGTCAAGCTTAGAAATCAACTTCTTGTCCCGTCTTTCTTACTTCTGTTGGCAACATAATGGGATCGGCCACGTTCCAAGCAGTGCTGCTATCTGTGGGTGTTTTCGCACACTACCTTGACTCTCGTCTTAATGCAGTTAATGACCGAACGTTATTTGCTATTCGTCAGGCCAAAATTTAAAAGCCATTCGCCCGGCAATTGGGTTTGTTTTATGCTACGCCTGCAATTGATGGACCGCAGCGAACTTGTTAAAACTCTAGTATTTGCTTTACAGCACATATTTTGCCATTTCATTAATGCAACACAGCATTAGCTTTTATTTCACAAAAAGTTGGTGTTTAATCTGATTTTACATTTAACCGTTTATGTAAATGTCATATTAAAAGCATCTTGATAATATATCAACTTTTTGTCACTAGACTAAAAATCAAGTTAACAGGCACTTAATACCATAAAGATGAAAAAATTGTAGTTTAAAATTTTAACCATATGGTGCTCTACAATGTAACATTTTGTGAATGAAACTTTAATTAAGAAACTACACAAACCTGATGTTTAACCCAGTCTCTCTCCTGATAGGAGATGCTGGACAACCCGGATTGCCAGGAGAGAGGGGATTCCCCGGAATGCCGGGACCTCCAGGACCAACGGGGCCAGAAGGAAGCCGAGGGGAGAAAGGAGACAAGGGGGAGAGAGGACCGGAGGGGGTCGGATTGGAAGGTCCTGCCGGTCCTAGAGGACCTCCTGGTATGATCAGTCAATATTTAAAACCGTTGCTCAAATTTAGCTGCTAAGACATGTGGGGGGGGGGGATTGAAATTTGAGAATGCAGCTTTTAATAACTTTTTTAGGAGTTAAGGCCAGACACGCACAGCCTTGTCAAATTTAATGTCTAAGGTTTATCTAGAAGTGGGCAAGAAGAAGTGGGGGAATATGAATAATTCATATTGCAGTGGCAAAATTTTTTCTTGTTACATTTAAAAAATTTCAAGAGCATGTGTGTAATAAAATCATGATTGGAGCATGTTTCTATTGTGTCTGGTTGGTGAGATATGAGCTTGTTTTGGGATTTAGAACTCCCTACCCATTTGTTGGGCCCCTGCTGGGAGGGCAACAACATCGGTTTCAACAATCAGAAAATACACTTTCAGTGCATATACAAATCCCAACATGATAGATGCTGGACTATTAGTTTTGACACTCTAGTTACATCAATAGTTTTACAATCATTATCATAAAAATATTCCTCAGGCAATTATTATTCAAATGTTAGGCGATGTGTACCGCTCTTGTAGATTCTTTAAACCATTTTTATTTTACAGGACCTTCAGGACCCCAAGGAATAGGACTTCCCGGAAGACCGGGAGATAGGGGAGAACCTGGAAGAACTGGTTAGTAGATGATCTATTAATGAAACGGCTTCACCCTTACCAGACTAGGAATAAATCTGTTTAATGTGTTTGTAGATTTTGTAGTCAGAGAGCCGATATTCTTACTAATTATTTTGACAGATGGGTTGGCTGGCATTACATTTCCATATCCATGCTCTGTAGTCTGCACAAGCACTATTACCCTTTTTACTATTACCCCCCCTACTAAACACTTTTTTCAATGAAAAGATGGGAAATGGGAATGGGAAAAGTTAATTTTTACCATTAAACCCTGTTACCATAGTCTGATCCAACAAGATTGCTTGTTTGCAAACCCGTTTGAATAAATGTTGATTTTCACATTAGTACCAAATTTCATCAAAATCGGATGATTTTTACTTGTGTTATCGTGCTAACAGTCATGCCTGTATATAAATACAGTAAGTATAAATTTATTTGATGAATTTTTGAACGCATAGTGATTTAGGCCTCTGGGACCTTATAAAAGGAAAAGGTTATCAGTCCCGGGTCTAGAATTTAAGTAGCATGAGACCAACAGTAATAGTTTTTCCCCAAATATGGATAATTTGCTAAAAATGTGATAATAAAATTTATTTAAAAACAATTTTTAACCATCTGAGAAAAGTTGAACCACATAATTGCTTCACTTTTATTCCAACAAATTCCTTGCTTCTTACATCTGCATTTATTAAGAGATTAATATTCCATACATTGAAAGGGTTTGACGAATTTTGGTGATTTTCAGGGGTTCCCGGAACAAGAGGTCCTCCAGGATCTCAGGGACCACCGGGGTTTTGTGAATTCTGTAACTATCCAGGAGGAAACTACGCCCAGTCAATAGCTTCTCGGCCTGGCAGCACCCAGAAAGGACCATAGACAAACAACCTGCCTCCATCAGTGATAGTTTACAGAAATGCCTTACGTCGTGATGTTACAAGATAATACTCCTGATGAGTAAAATTTACTTTGGTATTCCAAAAACCAATTAATAATCTAGGTTTACAATATTTACAGTTCTCAGCATACTGTATAAAGTCCTAAGTACCCAGAACTTTTGAGAAAACTACAAGTCACACCCCCATAAACCATATACTTAAAATGTTCGTCATGACGAGAAACCTTGCGCAAAACTATCCATTATTTCATAAATTGTCCTTTAAGGTCGTAATTGCTTTATAAAGGGAACTTTCCAAAAATACCTCAGCTGTACTTATATTTGTATGTTATTCTTTCAATTTATTACCTTCAGGAGTGATTATTTGTTTGTATTACTGTATTCTGTTTTGTTTATTTCAGCTTAACTTAACCAATCAATAGTTTTATTAATACTTATGAAGTCAAACGGGGTGAAGCCGGTGGAAAACAGCTAGTTTTAATGAAGTAATTGTGTTAGACAAATTTGTGCACTGTAAAAGAGTGGCAGGATACCTTTTTTTTTTAAAACACCCATATATAGAAAATCTATTTCATAATATTTCATTTATTTATTATTCAATCTTTTTGAACTTGGTATTGTTTGATAGGGAATTAAAACTGCTAAATAATAGTGTTCTTTACATTTTTGTTATAAAATCAGCCATATTTTAGTAATTCAGCAGGCTTAAAAACTTTAAATGGCCACCATTTTATTATTAACTTAAAAGAAAATTACATGATTATTGTTTTAAATTGCTTCTTGACACAATATATGTGTGGGTAAAGTTTGGTTTCTGTAGCTTGAATAATTCTTGAGATATAAATTGTATTGTAAAAAATACAAAATGGAAGCTAGCGGCTAAACAAAATGTTTTTCGAATTTCGACCTATGTATATGACATTTTTGTTTGGATCAGCCCCTGAAGTTTGTGACACCCCTTTATAAACACTCTGTATAATAATAATAACTCCTGCTTTCATTAACAAAGTCATGACTACGACATTACTATTTTACTGATTAGAAATAGACTGCAAAAGAAGATTAGGACAAAATTCACTTTGACCAAAGACTGTTCTCAGAGGATATTGATGATTTTCTCCGAGCAATGCTTGGTCCCCAGGTAATGTATACATAAACTGCAGGAGTAAAATTTATCCATTCAATTGTTTGTAATTTTGGATTAAAATATATAATAAATTGTGAAAATAATTTTATTAGTCACACAGAAAAAAATATGTTTCTTCTCCTCTTTAATTCCACTGCTCTAAGTCAGTGGAGATCACTCGTCTGGGTTTGAGCAGTCGAGAGAAGCAAGGCTGTAAAACAAAATCATCTAGTAAAAATTAAAAATGTGGAGATAATCTATTCTTGTTTCCTAAATTCCATTTTCAATAAACTTTGAACATTTGAATCATTTGGTATTAAAAATAGTGTTTAAATGTGTATGGTTTTCTTTTACCATCACTAATGTTAATGTTTATCATAAAATTTGAGTAGCTGCTCTATACAGGGTGTTTCACGGGAACCCTGACAAACTTCAGGAAATGGTTCCTGGGGTCAAAACTGGCAAAAAATTTCCTATAAGCATGTCATAAATTCACTCGTTTTCTAGTTATACGTAAAAATAGGTTTTTTTGGTTTTTAGTGTATCTGTTGAACATTTTGACCTCTAAATTGAAAAATTTGCAAGATATTTTGATAAAACTTGCATTGATAGATAGAATATTAAATTTCAAAGAGATTTCATTGCTATTGGGCAAACATGTTGGTTATGATTTTTTTGTTTTTGACAGCTCTTCATGTAGTAACCATTCAAGATTTTGGCTTGCAACTTTACCAAAAGATGTATAATTTAACGGAGAACAAGGAAATGTGAATTTATGTATACCTTTTATTGGGATTATTTTTGTCAAAATCTAAAATATTGTAACATATAAAAAATTTATAAAATTAAGCGAAATTGTATATTTAGCTTATTTTTAAACACATCCTAATAAAAGACGGTATATAGGTTCTCCTAGTTGAGAAGTATTGCATAATGGCCTATAATTTCCTTCTTCTTCATTTTTAATGAAAGAAAACAAGCATACCCACTTTCCTATGTTAACCCTATGGAGAAAAAATTAAATACAATGGCTCACATAATTCTGAACACATCTTATTAAAACTTGGTATATCCCTTCTTCTAGTTAAGTAATACATTATTATGGCATAAAATCTCTAGTTTTACATTCCTGTTGCACGGAGCCTGCTTACTACCATCTTTTAGGGCAAAAAATAGTTTTTCCAACTTTTTGTTTGTCTATTATCTATTAATTTTATCTATCTATTTGTCTATTAATATTTCAAAGGACTTTTTGACCTAAAATTGATATAATATTTAAAAAAAGTGGTTCTTATTAGATAGAATATTAAATTTTAAAGATATACCATTACTACTTTGTGCAGAAATATTGACTGTGGTAAACAATCATTTGAAACCTAATACTTGATCCGAAAAAAAAGATAAAAAATATGTTTTTATTATAGTAGCCATTCATACCCAAGTAGCAAGAAAATGTATAAACAATATTGTAAAATATATTGAATCGATATTTACCCAATATTAAAAACTATTGATTTAATATTGAAATAACATTTTACAAATATCAATTTGAAACAAAAGACATTTATCGGTAAATATTTGAGTCAATATTGAAATATATTGAAACAAGGCAAAATAAATATTGTTTAAATATTGTTTCTTTAAGTATTTAACATGGTTTCTATATAGTTTCAATATTTCAGCCTAAACATAAAAACACAAAATAATAAAGATTTAGTATGAAAATCATTATTATCAGTTGAGTAAAGTGATTAAATAGATCATAAAAACAAAATTTGCAAAAAAACTAGAATAAAATTTTTTGCCTCAGATGGGTCTTGAACCCATGACCTTTGCCATATGAGCCTGATGCCTTACTTCTGAGCTATCTGTGATTGTTGATATTATGAGTTTTCAAGTGTTATAAGAGCAGCTGACGGTTGCAATGGTCGCAATACTTTAAATATTTTTGATACTACAGTATATGATTCTGTTAATCAGTTTAGGCATCAAGTAGTTAAATTGTTTTTCTGTGAGTTTGAGAGAATACTGGTATTTGAATATAGATTATTTAATAACCATTAGATTAGTAATGTTATTATAATTGATTGTTATGATTAATTAATCTTTTCCCTTAATTGATTAATCTTAAACTATTAAACTTGTGCTCATATATAAGTTAAAGAATATTAATTTAAAAAAATATTATAATGAATTATATTTTAAGCAGGTGTTCCACCACTGTATCTAGTACCACAACTATCACAACACCATCTCTGACAACATTTATTATAGATCCAATTTTCTCTAAAATCGTCTTATATTCTGCTGTCATAGCATTTATGTTCTTATAAATAAATCAATTTGTTAAAATGCATTTTAGAATGTTTTATACTTAAATCCAACAAAGGCCCAACGATTATTTCCTTTGTAGGGCCAACAAATACAAGTTTCCGTTGGGCCAACGTTGGCAAGGAGTTAAAATTTCCACCAACCATTTCCCAACCGTGCCGACCATTTCCCAAAGTTGGGCCAACAATGTGTGCTAGGCTACTTGGGTATGCATTTAAGTACATACCCCTAGAGGAACCTTTTTGCTTATTTTAACCCAATAAACCATTATGAAGTATAGTGACGGACTTTACAGACCAGACACCCTGTATTGTAATTATTGACAGTGGCATATGACAACAATTTCTACAATGATGATAGCTGATAAAAAATCTCCTAAAGTGCACAGTAAAATGTTATAGTAGTAGGTTTGTTTATGCCAATGTTGCAGAATTGGTTTGTTAACTACTAACATCATATTGTGTTGCCGATATTTATTGAATATTTCATCAATATTTAAACTAAGTTGATAACAACATTTTCTATAGATATTGTTCAATATTGGAAAGGAATTAAAACAATATTGTTTGAATATTACCTTAACAATATTGTTTTACAATATTGAACAATATTGGGAACATATTTAAACAATATTGTTTTAATATTAAATTATAATATTTATCTTCAATATTGTGCAATATTGGCAAAATATCAAAACAATATTGTTTTAATATTTGAAGAAATCAATATTGTCGTAAATATTGGACAATATTGTTTCAATATAATGAAAATATTTTTTTGCTACTAGGGTACGGTAACCTTTCTAGCATTGATCTAGCGAATATTTTAGGCCATAATCATGTAGTACTCAACTAAAAGAAGGGATTTACCAAGTTTCAATAGGATGGGTTCAGAAATATGCGAGATATTCTATTTTATTTTTTCCCCATAAGGTTAACATAGGAAAGTAGGTATGCTTGTTTTCTATAATTAAAAATGAAAAAGAAGGAAATTTTAGGCCATTATGCAATACTTCTCAACTAGGAGAACCCATATACCGACTTTTATTAGGATATGTTTAAAATAAGCTAACTATACAATTTTGTTTATTTAGCTTAATTTTATTAATTTTTGATATTTTACAATATTTTATATTTTGACCAAAATAATAATATACCAATAAAAGGTATACATAAAATCACATTTACTTGTTCTCCGTTAAATTCTACGACTTTTGGTAAAGTTGCAAGCCAAAAGCTTGAATGGTTACTACATGAAGAGCTGTCAAAAACAAAAAAATAATTTTTAATCTAGATTTTTTTGAAAATATTTTACTTTTAAACTTATTTTTATCAGTCATAACCAACATGTTTGCCCAATAGTAATGAAATCTCTTTGAAATTTAATATTCTATCTATCAATGCAAGTTTTATCAAAATATCTTGCCAATTTTTCAATTTAGAGGTCAAAATGTTCAACAGATACACTAAAAACAAAAAAAAACCTTTTTTTACGTATAACTAGAAAACGAGTGAATTTATGACATATGCTTATAAGAAATTTTTTGCCAGTTTTGACCCCAGGAACTTTCCTAATTTATCTTTAGCTTTAGACCTTTTCAAAGAGCTTAAAAAGCAAATAATGTAGTATATTGAAGGGTTTTTTACGGTAATTGGTTGCAGAGAAAATTCAATAAATTGTAAATAATTTAAAATTCTTATGTTATTCTTATGGAGAATAAGTAAACTGTTGTAGATTACTTGTTTATGGATATATTTTGATCACACTTGGCAAATTTATATATTTTATTTTAAGGTATTCATATTTTGCAAAAAAAAAAAAAACACAACTTTATTACCCTACCTATAGCAGCAAACCTAGGTACTTGCTAAACCTAATGTTATTTAAGTAAATTTTAAATTGGAAATCCAATTACGTATTGGAAATTTGCTTAGTCTGCAGGTTTTCTGCAGCGATTCAATTCAAATATGTATGGTTGGTAGTTGTTAAACTTAAGGTTTTCTCAAAAGTTTTTGTTTCTTACGAACGTTACAGTTAGTTAGCCTGTATAGCAGTGTAGGTAGAGCCTATGAGAGCTTTGTAATGAATTTTATATGCTAGGAAAGGTCAAGTTAATGTATTTTTTTACTGGCATTGTGAAAGAAAAAATTTGTTTAAATTTCACTGACTGAAAAATGTATTTAATTTAGAAACTAAGAGAACTTTAGGAACTAAGAAAAATGTAAATAGTATTTTGAAGAGGTAAATTTTGAAGAATTCTATAGGATTTGTAAACTTTAAAGTTTTTATACCATGTCAAAGAGGTGCTGTCAAAATTGTTCATATACAGTAGCGTAACATAAAATAAAATTATAGAAGCATTAAAGCCTCATTTACCATCCTACTTATATGAACTGTAATCTCTAGTAAGAGGTAAATAGATGTCATCAATAATAAATGTTTCTTTAATAGTAGCCCACAGGATGAGAGGTACTCACACATTTTGGTAACTTTATAGGATTATTATATTACTGTATTACAATGGTATTACATATTACGTTGGATTCAAGATGGACGTTATAGGATAGATAAGACGTGGATAGTTTGGTGTGGGTTTTCCTTTCAGTGATAATTTTCCAAACCAACCTCATCTAAAAACCTGCAAGATGTTTTGTTGGAGTTCCTTTGAGATTCTTGAGTGTGGCAGATTGCATGAAAATATAATATTAATATATATGGTTCTTACCGTTTACGCTATCAGGGGTTTCGGAGTTCCTTTGAGATTAGCTAAAACTGGAAATCTAAGATTTTGATATTTATCACCTGAGATTTTGCTGAGTGACACTTTGCACACTATACAAATAACTATTACGTTTATGATCAATAACATCAACATGTCTGTTCTAGTATTCGTGATGCTTTGGCAACTAGGTAAAATTAGTTTGCCTGTTTTAAGTTTCTCCAACTGCTTATTTGGTGTGTGTCCAACAATATATTTCTAGCATTATTAAACTTCTCATGCAAATATCGACTAAAGCAGAATGAATTTTAAAAATTGATTTGTTGATAAAAATTTTAAGAAATTAATTGCTCATAAAAATGTAGTGACTATATAATTAGTTATCTATATATTAATTTGAAACTGTTTTTCTTTGTCACAGCTATTTTGAGAGAGTGGCTGGGCGTATATACTCGGTAGAGGTGTCTAAAGAAAGGTCTTGGTCTGTAGATGAGCCATCAAAATAGAAACATGGTGAATTCCCTTGGGGCTCTGCCCCAGTGGCCTTTGAATTCCCATCCCATGTTATTCTTATGGAGGAAAACGGGGTTTTTGTCACAGCTAATTTGAGAGAACGGCTGGGCGTAGAAACTTGGTAGGGGTCTCTAAAGAAAGGTCTTGGTCTGTAGATGAGCCATCAAAGATGAACTAGGTAAATTCCCTTGGGGCTGTGCCCCAGAAGCCTTTAAAGTTGCCTCTTCAGATTTGTTTACATTACGACCATATGCATAATTCTACACTACTTTTTAATGCAACAGCTGTTTATATTTAAATTGTGATTTATTGAATTTATCAAAATGAAGTACAGTATTTGCAATGGATTTTTCCGATTTTAAAATTGATTTTGTTCTGCATCGTGTCATGTTTGCAATATAATGTTCTATTACCAAATCAGTGGAAAATCCTAATATCACAGTAACTTTTAAAATTATTTCTTTTGGAGTTAACTTATATCTATTGTATGGGTTGGTTTCTGCCTCTTTTACAACTTCTTGGAGATTGTACCTAGGTGATATTCGTTGGCATATTGCATCTGTAGACGAAACTTGGGTTGGTGTGATTATTAGAATGGAAAAGAGTGAGAAATCCTGGACAATTTGATATAGGCTAAAAATAAAACTGAATTAACCCTGTTCTACATTTCTTGAGCAATCATTGAAATAACCGATTTGCAAACAATGGAAACATAGAAAAAGTCATAGAACACAACCAAGTAGAAGAAATAATAGAAATAATGTTGTTTTTTTTAATTTATAATCGTTATCATAGACAACCTAATGAGAGGGAAAAATTGGTAGAAAACACTAAAAAAAAGATCAGCTTTTTGAAAAAAGATGAGATAATTACAAAAGATTTTGATTATATCTAACTGTTGTGTAGATTGTGAGTATTTCCATAATCTTTGAGTCGCCTGTAATGCAATTGCTCGAATTCGAGCAACAGGTACACTAGTTTATATAAATTTTAACTTAGATTAATGGGTGTGTTGGTTAGAAGAATATCAACAAAATTTCTATAGTGCATAAGAATCATAACTCCTGCTTACATAAAGAATGTCATGACATAACTCAACTATTTTACAGATTTTTGTATATATATTTTTATTTTTTTATTTTTTCCTAGGACGCTAGGCACGAGCCTGGGATTGTTTTTCACATTACTTCAGGCTAGACCTAGGGGTTGTGGCATTATCACTTAGATAAAATCCATTGGTGGGGATCGAACCCGGGACCTCAGGGACTGAAGTCCTGCGCTCTAACCACCACGCCAGCTCGCCCTATTTTACTGATTAGAAATAGACTGCAAAAGAAGATTATTAAGACAAAATTGACGTTGACCAAAGACGTCATTAGTCTCAGAGGATACTAATGATTTTCCCCGAGCAAAGGTTGGTCCCCAGGTACTGTATATATTAACTGCAGGAGTAAAATTAATCTATTCAATTGTTTGTGGTTTTGGATTAAAATATATGCAAGGTAATAAATTGTGAAAATAATTATATTCGTCACACAGAAAATTATGTTTCTTTTCTTCTTTAACTCCACTGCTCTAAGTCACTATGCGCAAAGCCTGTAAAATAAAACCATCTAGTTGAAATTGAAACGTGAAGACAATCAACTCTTGTTTCCTAAATTCCATTTTCAATAAATTTTGAACGTTGAATCATTTGGTAGTAAAAATAGTGTTAAAATATATAAATTTAGAACATTTATGTATGGTTTTTTTTGCCATCAGTAATGTTCATCAGGAAAATTTGATTAACTAAACTGCCCTATGTGTAACTGGAAAGATTTGTCAGATTAAAACGTTGAAAACTTCGCATGAGTTCCTGCGTTATGGTGTGCCAAAGATCTAACTACGGCCTTACAGGAGAGTGTTTCGAGGGGTTCTGATGTTAAAACAATACGGAAAGTAAATAAAAGAAACGTCTTATAACACTTAAAATATATATTTACGCTTACTGTTACTCACAAGACGATAAATATACATAAAAGATGGTAAGTGGTGATCGATTTCGATTGAACACTCTGTAACGTTGTTAAAACAATAAAATGCGTTAATGATGAACAACTGAGTTCTAATTTATATCTAGAGGTTGCACTTCCCGAGGTTATTTTGTGGTTTAAAGGGATGGAATATAACCACCATCAGTTTGTAGAAACATCGCATATGCGCAACATTCTTTCCTTGACGTAACTATTTCGTACCTTGTGTTTGATGTCTGTCACAGTGGCTCCAATTAAGTAAATACATTACTGTAAGTACGGTACAATATTCTTTTGTGGCTTACGATAGCTATAGTCGGATTACTGGGATTACTGGATGGAAGGATTTACTGTTGTGGTAAAAGTCCAAGAAATAAATTGGCCACAAGTTTTCATTCCAAATAAAATGAGTTACAGATTAAATTTGTCTTTTTTTACGCTAAATTCAGCCAATCAGATAAATAGGCTATATCAACATTTATTTCTGTTTGCTAGGTATATGATCTGTGATGAAACTAGATGTATTGGAATAAGCTTGTGCTTGATTCATACTTCTGAGTGTATACTTTAGCTTTTTGACAATCGCTACCGCTGGACGATAATACCCAAGGTAAGACTGTTTTTATAAAATTTATTTGCGAGGCACGTTTTCAGCACACCCGGAATTTTAACAGGACATTTTTTAATACTTTACATTTTACATTGTACATTTTTTAATACATAAGAACACCGTATTTCACAGTAGCACAACCTGTTGGTTGATACTCTTTCCCTATGAATAATTAGGCCTATATACTTACAATCCGATACAAGCTTCAATAAGAGCACCAATACAACCCGATGCGTCATCATTGTTATCCTGGAACCATGAATAAGCTTTTCAGCTTTATGCTGTGCCACTGTCAACAAATTGTAGGCTAACAACATTAGTTATTAGTAAGTTTATTAGAACCGTATGTTATGGGATGAAAAGCCACGAATGGTTATAGCCATAAGCTGAGGGGACGAAAACCACAGAAATTAGAGAGTGGTTATATAATATTTTATATATATTTCTAACATAGTAAATATATAATTATTTTATGTATTTTAAAATATTAAAAAAATCAGACAGCCGTCGTCCTGTCCTTATGTGTTTTTATATCAAATCGTTCATTTTCAAGATGAGCTCGTTCGCATCGCTCAGGGACGTCATTCGCTGCGCTCACTTGCCTCCAGGTTCAACCAAGACAATTTTAAGAAATTTGTTGGTAAAGGCAATTTTTTTGAAGTTTTGAAATCAAATAAAAAAAGTAAGTACTCAATAATTCTATCATTACAGTTGACTAGTTCCTCTCGAAACTGCTTGCCCTTATTGGCTCTGTCTGCACTGGACCCATTACTATCAACGAGCACATTGTGCTCTTTGGTTACTATAGTCAGAACTAAGCTGAAAAATACGCTATCTATGGAGTGCCGCTGAAAAATCACACAGTTGTTTACATAGCTGCAATACGGAGGTGAGGGATGGATTTAACAACATATCATTTTTAATTTATAACAATTCAATATTTTCAATGAAAATGTTTTTTTAACAATCTTAAAATTAATTGATACACCCACGCCGCACTGTTTAACGATTCGTAGTGGCCAGTATTTTAAAAGTTTCACGAATTTTGTTTTTGGCATGGGGGGAGTCAGGATTTTGTACAAATATGTATTTGTTCATAGTCATCCAATATTTTGAACACCTTTTTCATATGTAATTTTATTCGTTATTTAAACAGTAACGATATTTTATAGGATCAATAATTATAGATAATAAAGATGTAACAATAATAAAATAATTACTTACCCCTCCTGATTGTGACGTCGGGTTGGATCCAAGATCTACCTGCACAGAAAACAACACAATTAGCTATTTAACAGACAAAAGAATAAGTTAATTATTTCCTTGTTTGTGGTTAAATTAACAGAAAACTCTTTTATTTTTTGTCTACTGACTGTAACAATTTTTACTCGGAAACAACCAAGGACAGAGTAAATATTCAGCATATTTTTTTAATATTATAATACCACTACTTGGCATATAAATCGTGGGACACTATATACTCATAATATTAGTAATTATTTTTTGTCATACTACAGCAAAAATATCAGTTTTACCCAACCCGCCATGTTAAACTTCCCTATCCCAAGCGCGATGTAAACAACTTCTTTACTTCACTCGGTGAAGTAAAGCTTAAAAAACTTACTCGGTGAAGTAATGAAACCTTGTCGCATCCTTGTGTCTCTGTTTTTCTAAGAAATTTTATTTTGGCCGAAATGTTATTGGGCCGAAGTGTTACTACCTAAAATGTTGCATAGTAAGATATTGAAATAAGACTATTACTATTACTACTTACTTGTGTCACGCCTGAGCTATAAGATACCTGCACACATAACAATACACATTAGTCACATTTTTTCACATACAGAAAAGAGATTTTCCAAAAAAAGCCATATTAGGTGAAATAAAACACAGTATATGTTTGTTTGGCTGACTGTTGGCTGTACTAAACATTTTAGCTCTGCACCAACCAAGAAAATACTCAAATTTTACTTTTAGCGAGAATGTAAAAAGCCAATATTGAAGTCTGCTATAAATAATTTAATTTAGCAGTTATAAAAGCAGAAACACTTCGAATTAATTGTCAAAATTTGAATTTTTACCCCTAGCCTGTTTGGAGATGGTGGTTTTCTTAATTTAAAGGAATTCGTTTGTTTCACTACAGTAACCTATGTGGTAAGACTCTTTTTTTACCTATTAAAGTTGAATATAGGCAAGTTTTCAACAAAATCTTTATCTATCCTAATTTGTTAAAATGAGATTGTGTATGTGTATATGTCTACTCAATAACGCCAGAACCACTGAACCAATTTCAATAAAATTCCGTTTGAAGGCACTCAGTTGACATATAGGCCTATTCCCGTTATCCTATTTCCCTCGAGCTACTTTCAAAGTTTCAATGTTTACATTTTTGTAGAATGTAAATGGACAAAAATATTAATTTGAAGTCAGCTGTAAATACTTAAGTTTGACAGTTCAAAGATCAGTGGTGAAGAGGTACAGGTTCTGCGCCCAAGATTATTAAGTTTTATGGTTATGAGAATGGTTCATGGAAAGAGAAGGATCATTATATTGTACTAGCTGTTGTACCCATGCTTTGAAATGAGAAGAGGAAATATATTTGAAGTCATATTCCGAAATGACAGAGATTGTGCTAAGAGATGTAATAAGAGTTTGGGCGAAAGTCTCGGGTGGAATGAGACTCGGACGAAACGGGACATAACTGAAATAGAAACATTTTGATCTTTAAAAAAATTTGATACAATAGTTATACATCCGCCAACGCTTTTAGAAACAAAATGAAACCTTTGTAGCCCTTATAGAAACGTTTGTGGCTTTTAAATATGGCAGTAGTGATCTCTTTAAAATAACAATGACTAGAAAATATTTTTGTAACAGAGTGGCATACTCACAGAATCTCCTCCACATGAACAGGTCATATCAGGTATCTAAAAAATACATTTTTAATTAGGACTTATTTTTTTTGATTATAATCTGCGTCAACAAATTATGGAAACCACAAAAAATGTTACAATTTAAACAATTAACTGTCATAAAAACTGATATTTAATATACTTTCTTAAGCTAATAACTAAAGTCTCTGTTAGAATAGGAGCAAAAAAGTGTGATATTATTTTAGCCGTGAAAACAACACATTTTATTATTTTTTGCCAGGTTCGGTACGGTAGTGTGTCACGGTATATGTTTGTCCCGTCCGTCACGAGCGCCGCACCGAGTGGCCGCCTGCGCTAGCGTTGATGGTTTTAATTTAATACGGCAATTACTCTAATTAATTTGTAAAAAAATCAATTTTGGGTAATATTTTGTCGTTTTGTATTACTATGGGCCTTTATGTTGACATTTTGTCAGGTTAAGTGTAAGAAAGGGCAATGTGGCCCTAACTTAGCCTGGTAAAATAAAGAATTTTTTCTTTTCATATCATTTCATTTCATTTTGTGGTTTGTTTGGTCAAGGTTGAAATAGTATTTTACAAGTTGAAACCATTAAATCAAGTATATCAATAATATTCAACTCGAATTATGTTGTTGATATTACAATTAAATTCTTTCAAAATTAATATAAACATTAATATTATTAAAGGCAATTAAAATAATCATTCTGTAACATGTTATTTTAATGAATAAAACCATTACAAATGAATACATTTAGCTGAGCATCCTTTTTAGAATATTTTATTTTAGTGACAATTTTTCAAAAAGCCACTTTTAACAATATTATATCTTATATAAACTGTTTGGCTTTGGCCTGGTGTGCCTGGTGGTCACTACACGGACTCGCGCGCTCTCCATCTCTCTAAACTCCCTTTTATATAAACGTGCTTGGTAGAATTTGTCTGGTCTTTATCTTGAATGGGGAAATGTCCGAATTGAAATTTTGCTGATATTTACCTCCGTTCTCCCTTCTCCCTGCTCGGTTTGGGGCCTTGATCGGGGAAATAATTGATAGTGTGTCACCACATTAAGCCGTCAACAGGGACAGGAATAAGTTGTTCACACTAATGTCTTTAAGGGATGAACATATGTTTATACAGTACATTTTGGTATACCATGTATTACATAGTAGCATGTAGGCTGATAATTAAATAAATAAATAAATAATTAAGCCTTTATTTAGCAATTGTTCCTCAGTTACATACACTACTTTACAGGATAACTCTGGTCATTTAATCAATACTAAATAAAACTAATAACAGAAAATGTACATACTAAATATTAACAAAATTAGAGGTCCTTCATCCTGGCACGCACCGGGATTTTGCGCCAACGCTACCCCTGGGCGAACACTCATCTCCATTCATACTTGGCTTTAAATGCCTACATTCATATGGTCGCCACTTCATAAGAAAGTAAAGTAATGTAAAGTAAAGAAGCTGTAATGTAACCTAACCTAACCTAACCTAAACCAACCCGATAATGAAGGGAGAAACTATAAAGTTGAACTTGAAGTATTTTCTGAACTTGAAGAAATGCATTGGCGCAATGACGGTGCGTTTGGGGGGGGGGGCAGATTTGACAGTGGCGCAATTCCGGTGGACCGAGCTGGGACACCCAGCAGCTTAAGGTCACAGGGGAGGTCATTATACAGCTTATGCCCAAAGTAAGTATCAGCAGCTTTTTTGGGAGTAATTATTGATGTTTAAGTACTGTATTTGACGAGTCACTTTTTTATGAAACCAAGTCAAATATATAAGACAAAAAAACTTCAGGGTATTTTTTTGTGTAGTGACATAAGCAATGCGAGTAGTCCCATTTAATTTCGGACACATTCGACAGTTCAGTAAAATTATTGTATGAGTCATTTATTTTGAATACACCCAGTTTCAAAAGAAATCCTACAAAGAAATATATTAGCAATAATTCGATTTCGAGCAACGGTTACACTAGTATGTTTTATGTTTGTAATGTATTACTGTACTAACAGGAGTTTTTCATTTTCTCAGAGTGATACAGAAATTTGACTTTTACCAAATTTATTTTATAATTTTGTCGAGGCTCACTTTCTAAGCAAGTACCTAAGTAGAATTACTTGTTATCAGATAATAATTACTTAACAGAGTTTTTACGCGAGATAAAATGTGTCAGTGACAAAATGGCTTACTCACCAAATTCCCTACAGATCCAAACGACCATCCCGTTACCTAAAACAAATTGAAGTATTTATTAGGAATTATAAACTTTTGATCACCGTATTCATACTACAATTTGTAGTATAAACTGAAATTATTGCAATTTGACTATAAGGACAATCTAGATACAAAATGGCAAATGGCTTACTCACCAAATCTCCAACAGATCCAAACGACCATCCCGTTGCCTAAAACAAATTGAAGTTTTTATTAGGAATTAAAACTTTTGATCACAGTATTCATACTACGATTTGTAGTATAAACTTAAATTATTGCAATTTGACTATAAGGACAATCTAGATACAAGATGGCAAAAAAGTAGTTTGGACCGCTTTTTGTAGTTTATGTCTAATAATCAGTGTTTGTTTGGTATTAAATAAAATTAAGTAGAAGATCATATTTGTGTTTTAAAGTTTGTGTGAAATAGACTTAAAGGAATGGAAAGATAGATTCTTAACACTTTAATAAAAGTTATATTTATATAAATTCTCTTAATATTTATTTTGTTTCGTATGTAAGTTAAATAGTATTAACACCTCTAAAATAGTCCATGTGTTTTTAGCGGGCCCCTAATAGATGATTGATTTATCTTTTTTAAATATAATTTTAATTTACTGCTTATGAGCATGTGTATTAAAAGGGTTATGGATTAGCATGAGTCCTATGGTAAACTTTAATTGTTCTTATGTGTCAGTACAGTTCCTTGGCAAAAACTTACAATTGCCAAGCGAGTAACACCTAGGCTCACTTGTGTTGTTATCTTTATTATTTATTACTATTATTGAAATGAAATGTCTTTATTTGCTTTTAACATGAAACCATGCATTGCAATCGTCACTGTTATAGTCACTTATCATTAATGTAGTGTTTCACGTAGCAGCGAAGTTTACAAGAACAACTACAAACTGTCCTTTATGCTATTTACCTTATACGTTATCGAAATATGTTTTCTGATAGACTGTTGGCAAACTTACACTTTCAACGTAGTTCTTGATCTCATCAAAAAAGACGCCAGCCGAAAATCCTTGTCCAAAACCTCCTCCTGTTCCTTCACTCCCCCCTAAGCCTGGCCTGTGATGACCATGGTGATGACTGGGTTTGTTACTACCAGAGAAGGACCATGTAGAATGTGTGCCATAAGACCCAGGGCGAGTAGGCCTATCATAATCAGGGCGAGAGTCTTGACGAAGTGGCGCTGAAGGTTTTTTGATCTTACCCAGAAAAGAGTACAACAGAGTTAGAAAGTTCAGGACAAGTCATATAATTCATCTTTTGCAAGACATTATAACAAGAATTTGTTATCTATAACAATTTTAAGAATATAACTTAAATAACCTGACTTCATCGTAATTAGTTTTACATTAGATGTGTTATAATTTTTGTAAACGTTTTTAAATGCATTGGAAAGTACCACTTAATTTGTAATATGGCAATAGATAAGTGAACCAAGTGGATAAATCTAGGGGAAAAAATAAAAAAAATGATATAAGCGCTTCAGATTCTAAATTATTTGTAGAACCTACGTAACAACAAAACCTTCTACACTACTCGGAAACTTCACATTTTTCGAAATGTAAATTCACTCCACACATTGTAACAGATTTTCCATAGATTTGAAATTCCCATTAAATAAGGGAAATATTAAATACATTATGCATTTTGTTAGTTTTTTGTCATTAGACGCTAGGCACGAGCCCGGGATTATTTTTCACATTACTTCAGGCTAGAGCTAGGAGTTGCAGCATTATAACTTATATTCTTGAGTGTGGCAGATTGCGTCAAAATATATTAATAAAATCTGTAATGGTTGGCTACTGACTATTGTCATTTACTTTAATTATCATGTGTTAATTGTTATTGTTAACTTCTAGTTGATATATACTAATAAAAATACTTTTACCTAAATTATTCTATCATGATAAATTCTGATTTTTATGAGTTTAATACAAAATCTATGGTTCTTATCGTCAACGCAATCAAGGGTAATATTCCACTACGGCTCTTTCGGAGATGACTCCATCGTCAGGTGCGTAGTGGTACACTAAACTATAGTCTTGTCACATTTAACACGAACTTTCTTCATTTGCATTGCGTCAGGGGTTGAATAAATAATACACATATATGTACAGGACGGAGACACGAAAACACGAATACACGAAAACATTTTGAGCGCGTGCACGGCTTGAAAACTGACGACCGACTGTTCAATCCTGGTCACTGCAGGAGCACAGAAAACATACTACTATAACCTACTATAACACTATACTACTATACTAAGCCTGTACACTATACTATACTACTATAACACTTTATAGTAGTATGTTTTCTGTGGCAGGAGTTACGTGGATGACTGGAAAAGCTGATAACACGGTGTGCCAACCTTATCTACTCAAATTATTTCTTTCCTGTTTGATTTATATTATTCTCTCAAAAATTGGATTGGCTGCTGAATTTGTTTGGGAGTTAATTACTAAGTTATGTTCTTTAGCTGAATATAGCTGACTATAGTTTAGTGTACCACACAAGGGTGTACTACACACCTGACGATGGAGTCATCTCCGAAACGGCCGTAGTGGAATATTACCCCTGATTGCGTTGACGGTAAGAACCATAGATATTATTAATAATATAACTTAGATAAAATACATTGGTGATTTGGCGGGATTTGAACCCTGGACCTCAGAGACTGAAGCTATAACCACAGGACCAGCTCACTCCCTTGCATATTGTTAGTGGTGTTACTGAAAGTGTTAATGGCAGAAGCATTTCCATCCGGAGTTGCTCACCTACCGCCACTTGTTTCCATCCGTTGTCCAAGCGACCGCGTCCATTTATAATCCATTGTTTGACGTGAACAACCCAGCTCGCTGTTGGATTTTTACAACTGTTTTTTGTTTCACTGGTACATGGATTACTTTTTACTCCGTTGTTCTGGAAGGTGTAATGCATGCAGGTTGATACTTGCCCTGTTTGAATACGAGCCAGCAGTTGTATTATTCTATCTGTTTGATCTATGTCGTACACAGTTATGGATCCGGTTAGCTCTGCTGGTTCACACGAACTCGTTTTATAAGTGGCAAACATAACCTTATCTTTGATCCATGCAAGTGTCAGACGGTACTCATTTTGATGAGCGGCACGAACACAAATCATGAACACTCCGGGCATGACATTGTAGAAAAGAGTTTTCACCACTATTCCATTACGAAATGATGAAAAATCCGAGCTGCAAGACATTGTCGACCCTTGCTCAGAAGGGTAAGCGAGTCCTTCAACTGTAAATAAGACATTTAAATGTTAATTTTAACATAGTCAATAGTTTCAGTGTGTGCGAGGGTGAGCGCTCATTCGCTTATGTAGTAATCATGAATCCTGCCCCGGTGAAATGTTATGTTCCTAGGTCTATGTCCTTCTTTGCCTCACACATGAAAAATGAGCGTGCAACGGTAAATGTCAATTTCGGTACAAGGTTTTTTTCTTTTTTTTTATGAAAATGAGATAAAAATTATCAGAAATAATGAATGGCTGACCGGAGGGTCAATGAATTGCTGCTCATAGCTAATGAAATTGTGATAAAACATTATCAGAAGTAGTTAATGGCTTACCGGAGGGTTAATAAATTGCTGCTTGTGGATAGTGAAATTGTGATAAAACATTATCAGAAGTAGTGAAAGGCTTACAGGAGGGTCTAATGAATTGCTGCTTGTGGATAATGAAATTGTGATCAAACATTATCAGAAGTAGTTAATGGCTTACCGGAGGGTTAATGTATTGCTGCTTGTAGATAATGAAATTGTGATAAAACATTATCAGAAGTAGTGAATGGCTTACCGGAGGGTTAATGTATTGCTGCTCATAGATAGTGAAATTGTGATGACACATTATCAGAAGTAGTTAATGGCTTACCGGAGGGTTAATAAATTGCTGCTTGTGGATAGTGAAATTGTGATAAAACATTATCAGAAGTAGTGAAAGGCTTACAGGAGGGTCTAATGAATTGCTGCTTGTGGATAATGAAATTGTGATCAAACATTATCAGAAGTAGTTAATGGCTTACCGGAGGGTTAATGTATTGCTGCTTGTAGATAATGAAATTGTGATAAAACATTATCAGAAGTAGTGAATGGCTTACCGGAGGGTTAATGTATTGCTGCTCATAGATAGTGAAATTGTGATGACACTTTATCAGAAGTAGTTAATGGCTTACCGGAGGGTTAATGAATTGCTGCCTGTGGATAATGAAATTGTGATCAAACATTATCAGAAGTAGTTAATGGCTTACCGGAGGGTTAATGAATTGCTGCTTGTGGATAATGAAATTGTGATCAAACATTATCAGAAGTAGTGAATGGCTTACCGGAGGGTTAATGAATTGCTGCTTGTAGATAATGAAATTGTGATCAAACATTATCAGAAGTAGTGAATGGCTAACCGGAGGGTTAATGAATTGCTGCTTGTGGATAATGAAATTGTGATCAAACATTATCAGAAGTAGTGAATGGCTTACCGGAGGGTTAATGAATTGCTGCTTGTAGATAATGAAATTGTGATCAAACATTATCAGAAGTAGTGAATGGCTAACCGGAGGGTCAATGAATTGCTGCTTGTAGATAATGAAATTGTGATCAAACATTAACAGTATTATTGAATGGCTAAACGGAGGGTTAATGAATTGTTGTTCAGAGGTAATGTAATTTTAACAAGCAAACTGTTTATTGTATTTTGTAGATATATAAAATAGGCAAGCATGTATATTGAAAACCTTTTTCTCAGCTTGTGTGCAACGCAGGAAAAATCTATGCATAATAAACACTCAATAAAAAATTAAGTTAAAATTTAAATAATTTATTTTTGTAAAAAAATACAACCGACTTCAAATGCTCTAAAAAGAATGAAATAATTTCAATAAAGTAAACTTTTGTATTAGTCAAGCTCACGTATTTTAAGTCGGCGCGCCTCTATGATGATTTTTGATACAAAATTTAAAGAGGATGTCCACATTGCAGGTGACTATCTATAACTAAAGGTGATTATAATCTTATAGTGATATTAACGAGTATCTTTAAAAAGATTATAATGTACCTATTTACATATTTCTAACTCGGAAAAGTAACGTTTTAATTTCAAACTAGCTTCTTTTCCCTATCATAATATCAAAATAAATTATTTTCCTATTCATATAGAACATTTGTGAGTGTTATTTTCACAATGCAATCATTCTGAAGTAAACATAAAATACAAGAAAATTCTTCCTTTGATATATATAAACAAAACAGTTCAGTATTTTCTTTATACATTTATGTTATCCAGCTACAATTTATTGATTTTCAAAATACACTCTCAATATTTTTTATTTTATTCATATTTGCAGTTAGAGCCGCACCGACTTGAAATACGTGAGCATGACTAATACAAAAGTTTACTTTATTGAAATTATTTCATTCTTTTTAGAGCATTTGAAGTCGGTTGTATTTTTTTACAAAAAGAAATTATTTCACGATTTTTAGTGACTGTATAATTTGTTATATATTAATTACTTGAAGTTTTATGATAAGCAAAACTGTTTGAAACAATCAAGAGTGCCACAGAACAATCATTATTTTTAAACTGCTTGAGTCACCTGTTCAGTTTACATAATCAATGGGTATAAAATTAACATTTTTGGATTTTCCTTAAACAAAAAAACAAATAGTTGTCCATTACATTAGACCTAATGAAAAACTAATCTTTCCTAGAGACATTGAAATGCCAGACATTATTGTTTCCTGCAATTGATGTACTTCTACATGATAAAACGAAATACAGCAAGGTCTCAAGCCTTTTGGAACAATAAGAAAGTTATTCCTCAGCCACCAGCACTAAAAAATCTCTTAAAAGTAGAAAATAGGTTGTTATCTCGTATATTACCTATGAAAAATACGTATATGAAAGATTGGTTCAGCTAAAAGTGGTGTAAGGGGTAGGTGGTTTTGTTTGCTCAAGATGTAGTCGAAATTGCAAATCATCTTCCCATTTCCGAAGCAGGCATAATATTATTGACAGTGAAGCATATTAATAAACATTCTACATCTTCAAATGCATGTTTAGTAATTAAAATATTTAACACTTTTAAGACGATTGACGATTATGCAATCTCACACCTCTTATGTAAGGAATAATTGCATCTAATTTATGTTTAGACCTCTTTTACGAATGCTTTGGTTTTCACAATACACCTTAAATTGTCAATATCGTACAGCTATTCACTATGTTTTTATAAGTCAGAACATTCAATCCTCAAAACAAATTCATACACAAATCAGGTCAAACGTTGAAATATCTTTTTTATAGTAACAAAAAAAAGCATTTTTTCAATGTAACTTTGAACTTTGGAACTTATTTAGGCTCCATGGCAAGAAATAGTTTATTAATCAATATGAAGCAACTGTTTCATGAAGAAACTGGCTGTAGCTTCATTTAAATGGTTTTAACCAACAGCTGTAGGAATGGTATTATTATTTATTACCTTCTCTGCAAAAATATAAACAAAATAAATGTTGAATATTTGAGGTTTTCAGCATTTTTCCCCAAACAAATATTTTTCTTAAACATAGTGCTATATATGGTACCAAATAGAAACTCTCCTGGTTATTTTAATGGTGGAACCACGCTGATCGGTAAAAGAATCACAGAGAAATTGGTGAACATACATAGAAAAAAAAAAACATCGCCACAGACAAATTGAGAACCTCCTCCTTTTGTTGGTAGTGGGGAAATCGGTTAAAAAAACTACGAGAGCCTAATCGCATATTGGGTTGACATGCTGGTGTCGAAATAACAACGAAATATAAATAGAAAATAAAAATAAATGGAACAAATTACAATCACTATGCTTTATTTACAGCTTGGAGTGAAAATTGAGAAGTATGCACAATACACATTTTTGGTCAAGTCTTAGACCATTGGGCGACCTCTAGTAAGTAGTTGTGGCTCAACTAGAAACGTGTCTAATGTATGATTTATAGGGGTAAGTCATATTGGAACTATCGTATGCGTTTAGCACATACAGAGGGTGAGTTTTAAATGAGTTCCCCCCCCTACTTTTTTCTTAATTTCTTAAGATATCAACTCCGGACCACGTCAGATCATTGTAGAGTAGTAAGTAATTCATTTTGACTGGGTATAAACTTTTGGCCGCCATCTTGGATCCGCCATATTGGATACAACGTTTTTTTCAAATGTAAAGGTAGGGTTGTGACCCATCGTTTTAAACTACTTTTTTATGCTAAATACGATGCTGCAATTCGTTTTTAAAAATCTTGATCCATTCTAAAGTAATGAGAACTTTTTATAACATTATTTTTAGCCCATTTTAACATTGTGCCTTTAGAAACTAAGAACATAATCGCAAAATAGTGCTAGATAAAGATGAGTATACACCACATAATATACATAAATCTTTATCTAGCGCTATTTTGCGATTATGTTTTTAGTTTCTAAATGCACAATGTTAAAATAGGCTAAAAATAATGTTATAAAAAGTTCTCATAACTTTAGAATGGGTCAAGATTTTTTTTAACGGATTGCAGCATTGTATTCAGCTTAAAAAAGTAGTTTAAAACGATGGGTCACAACCCTACCTTTACATTTGAAAAAAAAACTTTGTATCCAATATGGCGGATCCAAGATGGCGGCCAGAAATTTATACCCAGTCAAAATGAAGTACTTACTACTCTACAATGATCTGACGTGGTCCGGAGTTGATATCTTAAGAAATGTAGAAAAAAGTAGGGGGGGAACTCATTTAAAACTCACTCTGTATATAGATAGATACATTGTTTTAAAACACGTTTAAATGTAGTACATATAAAATAGTAAGTAAATGAAACTATCATACTTGGAGTAGGTAAGGTGTAGTCGTCCTCTCCTTCACGGAAGCATCCTGCTTGTACGAGATGCGTGAAAACCTGTACAGATGAAACACACAATTAATTTTACAATCCAATTCCTTTGGTAACGCTAAATACTCTTTTATCATTACGATGGTTATTTCCTTATCTTATACAGTGTATTAAAACGTGGGAGGGCTTTTTTATTCGAAGATTCTTAATTGACCAATTGACAGATTTTCAAGATCCTTCTTTTGAAAGAAAGGTAATTTTTAGTAAGGTATCAACGCGCAGGAGAAATGCTAGTTGCCGCTGCGTATAGTCCAGGGCGCCGACGATCTGCCCGCGTATTTTACGCATCCGGAGGCGTTAGATCTTCCAAACGCCTGAATTACGCGTCCTCACCAGGCAGACACACTCGTGTAGTCTACATTATTCAGCTATTGGCTCTGCAAAAAAGCAGACGGTCGGCGGCGTTTCATACGCTCGTGTAGTCCGGCCCGCTGTTCTGTCGAGTTTGTTGTTGCAGATGTGTAATTAGTCCTGCAGCTGGCTATACTTTAGTGTGCAAACTTGCGTATACTCAATATTCTTGCATAACGTTTTAGTTTGATGTCTAGGGAGTTTAAAAAACCTGGGTGTTTACCCCCTACCCCCCACGTTTTCCGGCTATGACGTCATCAAAATGGCAGCCATTGATTTTTTTTAAGCGTATATTTCGCAAACTATTTGTCGGATCGGAATGAGCTTTTTTTGTTTGAAAGATAAGTTTAAATGCTATCTGTTTTACATTTACACATTTGTTGTATGTTTAGTACATTTTTTGAGTAAAACACATCGAATTTGGTATTTTTTGTAAAGCTTTTTAAACGTTCTACAACTTTTTTCATTGGTGGTTTTTGATATATTATATCAATAAAACGTTACTAACAAATATAACACAAAAATATTTCAAAAAAAAATACAGGTTTTTGCAAAATTACGAAAAATGTAACAAACATACAACAAATGTGTAAATGTAAAACAGATAGAATTTAAACTTATATTTCAAAAAAAAGTTCATTCCGATCTGACAAATAGTTTGCGAAATATACGCTTAAAAAAATCAATGGCTGCCATTTTGATGACGTCATAGCCGGAAAACGTGGGGGGTAGGGGGTAAACACCCAGGTTTTTTAAACTCCCTAGACATCAAACTAAAACGTTATGCAAGAATATTGAGTATACGCAAGTTTGCACACTAAAGTATAGCCAGCTGCTGGACTATAATTGTAATTGATGATTCCAAAGCTGCCTTGGCTACAGTAATACTTATAGTAAAATAAATATTCTTATTCTCATACATACCAAAACAAAATATATGGTGTAAAACCCCAAAGCGCTCTGCGTTTGAATCATCTGGTATGGAACTCTACACTCTACTCTAGTTTCTAATCGACAACACGTGTTTATGTGAACTGCTCTACGAACACATCTGTGAATGACGTATAAACTAATTAATTGTCGGTTGATAACTTGCTATTACCATAGACTAACAAACACAAGTAGTATATACTTCTAATCCCACTGAAATTTTGAAGCTCGTTTTTCGTGTCCAATTCATGCCTGGTGACACTGACTACTAGTGTCGACAAACTTTTGTTTCTATTATTTTAGGGTTAATTTAATTATGTGTACTTTACTGTTTGGTTATATAACTAGAGGATGAGTTATTGTTTTATTTGGATTTTGATTTTTATTTGGATTATTTTTTTGTAGATTATTTGGTTAAACAAGGTTTTAAATGACTGAAATAACAAGAAACAAATTGCAAACAAAATACAACATCTAAAGTGCACTGGGGGAGAGATTGAGATTAAAGTTTGCATTGAAGTGGATCCCAAAGAGCTTCGCTTCGATCTGCTCAAAAATAAGTATTCTAGAAACTTCAAGATTGAAATTTTAAATATAAGAAATAAAGAAAAAATATGTAAATAAGGAAGGTAAGGAAGGGAAGGTAAGGAAGGAAGGCAAATAATGTATTTGAAATCCACTACTTACAAGATTTAAAAGCCACAAACGTTTCTATAAAGGCCTAAAAGAGTTAGCGGATGTGTAACTATTTTATACAAAAGATGTAAAGATCAAAATGTTCATATTCTTTTCTCCTTACCGTTGCAAATCAGGGGCACAACAGCTATAAATAGATTCATAAAATTGTTAGTGATATTTGTAGAAGCTGTCCTGTTGTGTTTGTCCTATTTTACGGTTTGTAAAAAGTTGTGTTTAAGGTGTAAAATGGGTTATCTACTAAACATAAGACGTGCAATTCAAAGTAAAATAATATTCTCATACATACCAAAACGAAGTATATGGTGTAAAACCCCAAGGTGCTCTGTGTTTGATTCATCATGCACAGAACTCTACTGTTTGAAGAACAGTCAACTTCCAATCAACTACACGTGTTTACGGTGTAAAATAGGTTATCTAATAAACATCTGTGAGTACTTACATACTAACTAGATAACCTTTTGCTCGAAATCGAGCGAAACTGCAACTTGTAATAAAAAATAAACAATAGAAACAGAATAGCCCAGGCACTTTAGGTAAAAAAATAGAACAAATTAATAACTAGCTGATTTTTGGTGTGGTGTTAGTATGTCATTAGGTAAGTATTTTCTGAAAGTTCCCCTCACTTCCTCCGCTTGCTTCACCCAGTAAAGGGCTAGAAAGGGTTTAAGTGACGTAAAAATACAAAAATCTTTATTGAGTGTCACCAGTGTCACCGATTTTAGTGGTTTTAGTCTTAAATCATTCAGAATGAAAGTGGTCATGCTAAAGAATTGCCGCATAAACAATTCATAGCACTTTAAAGCGTTTTATTTTATATATTTTATTTTTCGTCTAAAATATATATATATAAAAAAATAAATAAAACTCTTGCATCATTTGTAAGATATGTAATATTGGACTTTCTTTACCTTAATTTTTTTAATCTTATATACAACTAATACTCACATATCAACAAATAAAAAAAAATAGCTAAGATAAGTTTATAATTTTTCCTGCACATTTCAAAAAAGTACGGATCAGTTTCTTGGGGCGAATTTCAACCCGTCCAAAATAAAGCATCTTCTTTACCTACATACATTCTTTCTTGTAACTACAATCCCGCATCAACATCTTCATCATCCTACAGAGATGTGGGAGGTCCCATAGCTCATGACGATAAACTGGGATTCGTCGTTATTTTTAATGTAACAACATAATTTGAAAAATGCATCTCTTGTTGTGACGTCTTCCGATCTACCTACACCTTTTTCTGATGGGTTTCTAAAAAAATGTTGAATAACAGTCACGGCAATACTTTGCTTGGGCGGCTACTAAATCTCCAATACCGGCTTTTCGGGATAAAATCAACTGACCCTGTTCATCTTTACATTCTATAGTACGTTTCTTGACGGAGTTAAATATTGGTAGGGTAGCACTTCATGCACAACCTTTCTATATTTTTGTGGGAGTTTTGTACTGGCACAGTTCAAGGCATCTTTGCCACAAAACAAACAGTGAACTTTAATGTCAAACACCGAATCGATGCTTGAACGAGAGAGAGAGAGAGACGACTGAGGCCCTCCTCAGATGACTGACACTGCTACGCAATTAGCTGTAGCAATGGACGATGGTCGTGTACACTACGTTTGACACTTTCCATGGACCTTTAAGGATGTTTTACCTTCCTAAATTATGTCGAACGTTGTCCCCACGCTCTTCACTGGCATGTAAAAGAGCAGGAATACCTCGGGTAACGACATTTTGTCAGGTTCCCTGCCTCGAGAAGGCTCTCTCCACATAAGCCGCAGCTTTCCATGATACCAAGCGAAAATTGAGTAGCTTCAAAACTGTATTTTAATTCAAGTCCATTTATTATGAAGTTTGTGTGAAAAAAAAGACTTAAGTGACGATCCACGCCATTTTCCACTTGTCAACAATCACAACACCTATATAAAGCAAAATTCTTCTATTACTTATTCACATCACATATTGTAAAAGAACAATTGTACCAGGAGTCTTCTAAAACAACTTCAAACATAATTATGTTTTTAGGAATTTTCCCTATAGGGAATAAGCTATTACCGTAGTACTCATGGTAAGCAAAAACATGGGCAAAAATGGGTTTTTCCCATTTTTGACCCTAAAAACTTAAAATTTAGCATTTTCTTTCCAAAACATTTTGTAGATCTTAAAATAACAAATAATTTAGTATATTGAAGCGTGATTATGCGCCTAATGGTTACGGAGAAAATTTCAAAAAACTGTAAATTTAAAATTCCCATGTTATTCTTATGGAGAATACAACTGTTGTAGTTTGCTTGTTTATGATCATATTTTGATCAAATTTGGAAAATGGATTCATTTCATACTAAACTATTAACATTTTACAAAAAAAAAACACCTTTTTACCCTCCCTGATGCAGCAAACCTAAGTACCATGCTATTTAAATAAGGAATAATTGTGATATTTTAAGGAGACATTTTAGTGTAAATCCAAATCAGGCAAATGGAAATTTGCTTAGTCTGCAGGTTTGCTGCGGTGGGGGTATTTTACGTATAAAGCTGTGTACGTACATAATAACAGATGTGAAAGCATTGTTAGGCAAACGTTTTTTTTCAGAGCTGCCAACCCAAAATATCCAAACTTAAATTTCTCAACACCCTGTAGTTTTTATGATTTATTTTTTCGTATCCATGGATATTAGGGTTTTTAATATTATTATTTACTAGCATTCTTTATGTGAGTTTATTTATTAATTAGACCATTTTAGGTTAATAAATGAGAAATTAAATCGTCAAAAATGCGCGAAGGATTCATACGCTCTGGTTCAGTGCTCTTAACTTTACATCTATATTTTGGTCTAACTATGCTCATCCAAAATCACACTAATGATTTATATAATTGTTTCCTTGATTTTAAAATTTTCTTGAATATATTTTAGGACAAATAACAAATAATAAGTTGGGGTAGTAGCTGTCAAAAGCTGAAATTCTCAGCAAAAACTCTTTAAATCACCTAAAATTTAGTATACAAATTAAAATATATCAAATAAAACGCCCTAAAGTGCTATGAATTATTGTTGCGATGATTATTTAGCATGACTACTTTCATTCTGAATGATTTAAGACTAAAACCTCTAAAATTGGTGACATTGGTGTCACTCAATAAATATTTTTGTATTTTACGTCACTTAAACCCTTTCTAGCCCTTTACTGGTTGAAGCAAGCGGAGGAAGTGAGGGGAACTTTCACAAAATACTTACCTAATGACATACTAACACCACAACAAAAATCAGCTAGTTATTAATTTGTTCTATTTTAGGGCATTATTTTTTCTAAAATTCCTGGGCTAGAAACAGCAAGACCTCAATCAAAGAGTCATTCTAAAGTCTATGACTGATCATAGAAATATGAACAATATTATTTTGTAAAAGATTATAAAACTAACGTACAATATTTAAATATAGATCCGGTCTCATACTGCTTTTTGACGCTGCAAGCCAATTCCCTCGCTTGACGCCAAACAGTACGACACGTAATATAGCACTGTTAAATTATTTCTCCGATAGGTTATGTTTTAGGCATGTTAGGGGCCCTAACAAAAGTCTCCGGTTGGGAAAATTAGAGGACAAGCAAGTGGATCTAATGACGGATCTAGAACGGTTTCGGGTTTAACATATTATTAGTTTTTGAAAAAAGAAACGGATTATTTGGCCAGGTGGTGCTCTGTTTTCAGCTTTAAAAATAGCTGCGACATCGATACAGGTCACATCATCGTAGCGAGGGAAGTCACTTATTTTAGTATCTTATTATGTACATAATCTCACTTGACTCCTCGGAGCTCTTGTCCCTAAAAATTTCTGCCACAGTTTTAAAAGATTGGGCAAATGGGTTGGCAATGTGACCATGTGTGTGAGGAAAGTCACTTATTTTAGTATCTTATTATGTACATAAAATCTCACTTGACTCTTCAGAGCTCTTGTCCCTACAAATTCCTGCCACAGTTTTAAAAGATTGGGTAAATGGGTTGGCAATGTGACCCTATTTCCAGGATATTTTTTTCATTGAATCTTTTATTTCAATTTTCAATTGTGTTTCATGCATTGTAGGGTTCCAGTGCCAACGTCGTACTTATACATCTGTGCGTGCACAGGATGACATTCCTAAGGAATTAGATAATCTCCTCGGAGGTAAAACGTGTAATGGATCTTGAAATTGTAGATCCCCTGTGTGATCCTCTCGTCTAAATGAGCCTCAGAGCTGACCATGGCAAAGGCTGAATTGAATGGACGAATTTTGTCCAAATAATGTCTAAATCCAAGCCTCACAGTCCTTTTTTTCAGAATGGGGGTTTCCAATAAGTTCCTGAAAGTATGGTGAATTCCACAGATGAGGTAAACGGTTCTCTCATTT